TGATGTAATCAGAAGATTTTGTTAACTACGGAATTAGAGAGTTCACCAAGGTGTTGTAGATTGTTCTCGGTAAATATGTGTCATTAATCTTTAAGGTCTAACAAAATCTTATGGAAATGCTGTGTTGTTGTTGTTGTTGTTTTTATGGAGAATCCAGAATTGCATCTTTTTGACTTATGTTTTTAAAAATCCTGGACAATTTTTTAGGGAAAAAAATAAAATATTAGCCACTTTTTCCCTGCCAAAGAAGAAAGCTTCCATGGTGTGAATCCACGTTTATTTAAACACCATGATATTATGACTAATATACTGGATGAAAAATCCGTCTTAATTTCTAATTTTTCCATATAAATACTTTCCTGAAATTTATTATTGTTTTTACTTTGGCTTATAACAGTAAAAATTAAATGGTAAAAGTGTCTGTCAAATTTTGCAATTTTCCTGCTAACTGCAGTAAAAAACAGTTCCAAGAATATAAAACAAATGTTACTTTCATCAGAGCAAAGGAATATTTGACTTTCAAACAAAAATGTATCTGAATCCATGCTGTGGAGAAATGTGAAAGTCAGGTAAATGTTAGCAAATACGTATTGTAGAGTAGAAAGAGAAAAAGTAAGAATGTAGCGACTGTGATAAGACATTATTACCACATGCTCAACTATGGAAGATTTAATATAGGATTTTTGTCAAAAATAGAATACTAAAGTAAATTGCAATTCTTATGAAAGCTCTGGAAGGATAGTAAAAAACTGATACTTCAATGAAAAGAACAAAGCATGTATTTTTTGCCATCGACTTTTGGTGTTCAAGCGCACACACACACACACACACACACACATATTCATGCTTATATTTAGACACTCCTATGTACGTATATAATTTTTCCATGGCATTGCTTTCCTGAGGCTTAGTCAGTTATGACTAATGAAAAACAGAAAGGTCATTCATATTTTTTATAATTTCATGTACACCACTTACGGTAAACCTATAATATTGCTGTTATTTTGATATTGTTTTGATGAAGTAATAATCTTGTTTCTGGATCTACATCAGATTCCACACCCACACCCTCAAAATCTATCAAGGCAAGCAGTCATAGAGACAAAACAAAATGAAACGAGAAACAGAAAGGCGCAAATAAAGGAATTAGAGAATGTTTTAAATATTTCCTTTTGAAATGTGCATCAATAAAACATTTCACAGGCACATGTTCTGACCAGAAACACTCAGTTCACTTATTTATTGGGACAAAAATTTGAAGTTGAATTTGTACTTGTGAAGAATGAGGACATTCTTCCTTTATGGAAAGTAACCATGGAAAAGCAGACACAAATAATACTTAGAATCAATAGGAGATGGCTTGTTCAAGTTAAAAAAATTAGTTGCTAAGTTGTTTAGGGCCTCTCTAAAGAAGAGAACATCTTTAAAGAATAAAGTATGTACTCTTTACCTATAAAATGATAGGTAAAATACATACCAATAATAGCAACAACAAAGCATAATTATTTGGATATATAACAGATATATGTATATGTAAATAAATGTATATAAACATGTACTTAAGTGACTATATTTACAAGTATTCAAAAAAGTATGCAATGCATTTTCTCATTTATTTTATAAAACTCCTTTCTCTGTGGGAATAGAGATATGTATGCCTAGTAGTTTCTTCTTAAAGTATTTCTTTACTGCATTAGTGATTGCTGTGTTCTTAAGTACGGTTTATTGGTGTTAGTTTTTTCAGTAATACATAGTAAACTTATCTAAGGCTTTTCTTCATTATATTGACTTAGATATAATATTATACACAAATTGGCTAAACTTGATTTTAAAACCACTAGTTACATTACCTGAGTTTAAGCAATTGTCCTGCTTATAATATTGAAATGGTTTAATGTTTCAGAGTTTTTATATTGGATAGACGACACTGTGACATTGTCTCAAATGACAATGTCTGGCTTGTGTTTTTTCCACTGAACGTGTCAACACACATGCATAATTTTCTTACTTCCTAGCAGAGCCCATTCCTTTTTTTTATAATAAAACTTATTTTGGAAATATCAAAATCAAAATCATGTGTTGTAGTAAATGTAAATTTATAGCTATAATCTATTTTGTCTGTGCTTATGGAAGTAATTTTCTGTGGCTCTATATTAATTTGAAAGTAGACTTGATAAATTTAAAATGTAATCCTAAAGCAATCACTAAAATAAATAAAAAAGTTCTGGCAAATAAGTAAAAAAATAACACATTATGGAATCATTAAAAATTCGATTAATCCAAAAGAAGGCAGAAAAATAGAAATAAGTGAAGCAATCATGTGACAAGTAGAATATAAATAGCAAGATGTTATATGTAAACCCAATTATATCCATATTCATTTCAAATATAAATACTTTAGTAAGAAGCATTGATAGATTTTTAAAAGAGGAGGGTTAATTATATGCTGCACAGTGGAAATGTGTTTAAAATATAAAGTACAATTAAGTTAGAAGTTAAAGATTGGAAAAAAAAAACATATACCAATGCATCAGTAGTCCAGAAAAAGCTGGAGCACCACTATCAATACTGGCAAAGGAGATTTCAGAGCAAACAATATCACCAGGGACAAAGAAGGTCATTTTTGAATGACAAAGGAATTATTTGATCAAGAGGACATTACAATCCTAATTGCTCATGCATCTTTTAACAGATCTTCAAAATATATCAAGCCATCACAGATACAATTGCAAGGAGAAATGGAGAAATTCTCAATTATAGTTGGTAAGTTCCACATTGCTCTCTCTGTAATTGATTGTACAAGTAGGTAGAAAATCAGTAAAGATATAGAAAACCTGAACAACACTATCAAGTAAGTTGGCCAACTTGGCACAAAAGTTTTACATATATTTCAGACTTGGATAATAAAATAAAATGCATCCATGTGCAAATTTCTGGTCTATTAAGGAAAAAATGAAAATAATTCACATATAATGATTAAATCACATGCTTCATGTAAACGGAGATGAAATATTTCACTACTACAATGAAACCATATTTTTCTTTGTACTTCTTCACAAAATAACCTATATAAAGATTTCACTATTATAGATGCGCTTTTAGTAAATATTACACATAGATAATGGATGAAAATACTTATCTACTTTAAAATTAATTTCAATCTGTTCTCAATTTCAATGTCTTTGCCTATACTTTGCTTGCTTGTTCGTTTTGTTGATCAGGCTGACAGTGATCAGAAGGGAGGGGGGATAACAGGGGGAAAAGGCTAAGTGTTTACAGGAACAATTATAAAGGACATATGGACAGTAACAAGGGGGGTGGAAATGGGTGGGGAGGACTTTGGTGGTGGAGAGGGGTAGGGGAAATGGCAGGAAACTGAACTTGAACAATAATAAAAAAATTCAAAAAGAAAAAAGAAGATTAATTTCAAGAGTTATATCATGTATGACTTTAAAACTCTTCATTTTATAGGCCATATTTATTCTCTGTGTATCAGAATGCTTCCTGTAAAAGGTGAAAGACAGGAACTGAAACAATTACTTTCAATAAATGATGGCAGGTATTTGTTTATAGCTCAAAAATAAATTTGAAGGCAATTTTATATAATACCCAATATTAATTTGATCTAACATGTCACTGAATATAAAACATGTCATTATTTTATGTTCTTCAAGAAAATAAGTACTCCCAATTAAATTGTGACATTGTAAAACACAACAGCTTCTGAGACGGTAAAATGTAAAATGTGTGTGTATTCCGAGGTGTTAAATGAATGTATCAGGATGCTAACTGGGTTTGCTCTGAGATGTTAAAAGGTAAATAGATGTGGCTTTTATAATCTAAACCTAAAATCATGTTTCTTTTAAAATCCATTTTGTGTGAAGTGAATTCAGACTTATTGATTCACTTAAATAGCCATTGCAGGCTTAGAATTTCTAGAAAAATGTATAAATTTTCTCCATGAATACTCGAGGAAAATAATATTCCCAGCTCTCTATTGGTTACTAATACAATAACAGTAAGGGACTAAAAAAGCTATATAAAATGGAAAAAAAAAACATTGTTAACTCAGAAATATTTAATGTGTATACAAGTGTGTTATATGTTCACCCAAATCCTTGAACAAAGAGATTTTGTCTCTGTTGATGTCTTCAGAAAGTAAGAGTTTTTTGCAAAAATACTCCAAGCAATGAGTTAATTTCAATTTTATTAGTGTAGCTGAGGCCATATTTTAACATTTGACCCAATTTGTTATTGATTTTATCCCAAAGCCCTTTCATTCTCCAGGGTCCCTTAGAAATTCAGACCTGTAGATATTAGGAAAAGATGTTCAAAATGATAAGAACCTTAAATAATTAGAAATTGCATAGTATAGAATTGTATGGTATATTAATGTATATCTATTATTATAATATTAAAACTGTTTAGGCATGTCAACAATTAAAGAGATCAATACATTAAAACACCATTAAAAATTGAACAGAGAAACAGCCTATCTTTTAATTTTGATGAACTAGTAAAAAAGTGAAAATTTGTATATATCTAAAATTCCTAAGCATCAAAATAATCAATGAAATTCAAATGTTTAGAAGTCTTTTAATTAACATTTGAAATACTCTTCTCCAAAGAACATTCTTTTCTGGTACCACTTTTTTATTATTAATAGTATGTATTAATAATAAAAATATTAGTATCATGTATTGAAACAATAAGTATTTGTATGTGCTTTATGGTAAATATAAACTGAATCTAAGATCTTAGATTATTGATAATACAGAAATTATTAATAAAGCAATTTGTTTTTCTACAGGTTGCATCATTACCTTATTTGACTATAGACTCCTTTTCAGTGCCATTCTTTAAAGCTTTTTATCTAATGTACATTTTTCAATGCATGTAGCCATTGTTTTCATTAAGTGTGCATAATCAGTTCATTCAATCAAACTTGGATGCAGTGAGATCCTCCACTCTGCACTTTATTAGCCACATGGATGACTTACCTTATCTTTTCTTTGTTTTTCATCCTGGTATACAGTCCAGTGCTCTCCATCATTGCTGTAAGCTAGTTTGTAGGAGCCTACAAACTGTACATGACCAAAATCTTTAGCTCCCTGTGTAATGATGCCAGTCACTTTGGTAGGGACCAGAAGATCTACCTAAAAAAGGAAAAGGCATAATTATTTAAATTATTCTATTTAAAGAGTCTATTTAAAGAGTCTATTATAGTCTAAGAGTCTATTTAAATAGACTCTGCCACAACAGAGTCTATTATAAATTTACAAGTCTTTTTAACTCAGGAGATTCAGAAACACATATGTTGAAGGCAAAATTCCATTAACTGTTTATAATTTTAAACTGGTGACTGAGTCAATTATTGGCTTGCAATTTTGATTTTGCCACTGGGGTAAATAGGTTAAAACTTGAACAACCATTTTGACCATTTTCAAATAAAAAGATGGTTATTTCAGTATACCAATCAATTTTCTATTAAACTAATTCATCCAGCTGTGCAGTTTTATGTAACTGAGACAGTACAGAACTGGGAAGCTAACCTTTTTGAGACTGATCATTATCTTTCAGAACTTGCATTACAATTCAATTTGCTGAATTTACAGGTCAATTCATAATAATAAAAATAAAATTATTGCTGTGTACATACCAGGCACAAAAATGGTATTAGATGTTTCATCATTGAACATTAAATAACAAGTCAACTCCATTTGCACGAATTTTAAGCAGTTTAGTTATATGATATAAAGTAATAGTAATCATTGTCCAAGGAAAATATTTCAGAAAACAGAATCCTGAAAACACGGAGGAGCAAGTCAAGTGTTCTTCAGAAATGAAGGATGATTATAGCATGCACCCATGACTTGTGGGAAATACTCATGATGTATTTCTTTCATGCAAAATTATGTACTTAAAGGACAAATATGTGCTTAAGGACCCGTAGTGGTTTAGTAAGCACTAAATTCATCAAAATGTAATTGAATACAAAAGATAGGGATGATTTTTCTCAAAGAAGAATACATAACATTGAGTAATTTTGGATTCTCCCACTTCATTCCCTAATTCATCCATTTTTTCTTACATCTTATGATGCTAATTTAAAAAAGGAAAAATTTGTTTCCATGTGGAAAATTTTTATAGGACCTTTATGTTTTTATTTTTTAGGTTTCTTGATCTATGACTTCCTGTCTCCTCGTACAATAGCCACCAACTTCCTCCTACTTCCTATGACTAAATGCTGCGTTACATCTTTGATCTTATCATCTTTAACTGTCATGATCCCATGTTTGACCTTGGTGGCTTTTAACCACTATGCCCTATTGTTTCTATTTCAGGTTCCCCATCCTGTGAGATGTACTTAGTCACAAATAGACAGTCATGGGTCAGATACAGGTCATGGATGAGAAGTTAGTAGAGTGCACTGAATAGAGAATATTTAGTGATGCTCATCAGATAAAGATATGGAAGAAGTTCCCAATGTTTCACAGCCTAAAAACACATATATTTAAAAAAATCACGTGAGTTTTTGCCCACTTTTTGAAACATTCTTTAATTAAAGACAGGCTCAAATTGGACAATGAATTAAGATAGAAAACCACCCTTAATGCTTTATTAAAAATTTTAGAAAGTTTAACAAATACTATAAAATACCATGCTTCTGTTTTTGCTATTTTACAAACATATATTATGTCATCTCAACACCTTGTGCATCCAGCGGCAATACAGGATGGAAAAATTATAATATCCTGGGAAGGAAACTGTTGTTGCCACTATATGAAGTGCTTTCTTGTATGTGTTTATTGGATTCCCTCAACAACCCTGCAGGATAGGGCATTCTCTTTACATTACAAATGGGGGAATAGAAGTATAATATAACTTGATGTGTGATCCAAAGACAAACAGTGAATAAAGGAAGGACCCCCAATTCAAATGTATGACTTTCTGATTCGATGTTCTGCCATACATATAGATTCTCAGACAATGACTTTTTTCTCCATTCTTGATGACTATTTCAGGAGTTTCTGAGGAATCTCAAAGCTTTCTCACCACATTCATCAAACTTACAGCAACTGTAGGTCCCCCCTACCCCCACCTTGACCCACACACAAAGAAATCCTGGCTTTACAATACTGGGAGAGCAGCCCTGTCTTTTAATAAGAATTTCCACTCTGTTCTTCAGCTGTCTGGGCTTACAATGTGGGTTGCTTTTGTTGTCCTAAATCCAAATCTAAAGCTCAGAGATAACTAGGTATAGCCTCTGGTCTTCAAAGTGCTCTTGATGTTGCTAACGGTCAATAAATGCAAAAATCAAAACAAAACAGCAAAAACAAACAAACAGATAAAATACTCTTACAATACTCTGAGTCACTGTTTGCCAAGGCTGTGAACACACAGGAACTCAGACTGTCTCCAGGAACATAAAACCCTCCAGGGCTGTAGTCTTCAATCCATAAATTTCTATCAGTCATTAGCTAAGATGACGTAATGAGGAGTCTTATAGCATTCTCCTTTTCTGTGGTATTTCGTAAAGTTAGCTGGGTTTCCTGCTGGGTGGAGATGTTTTCTCCTGAGGTTGTGTGTCTTGGCTCTCTCTAACAGGTATGTTTTTCTCCTGTTCTAACTGCTTCCCTTCTCCAGTTTTCTTTTCTTTTTCTTTTTTAATCTAGAAATATTTTCTTGTCTTTTTTTTTAGTTAAGTCAACTTCTTGACTTAAATAGTCGGCAATCTGTTTTAAGCTGGAATTTGTCCTAATTTGTTACATTAAACTTAGAATACCAGGCCTAAGCAAACCTTTTTTCAGTACAAAAATAATCAGCATCCCACACTTAACATGAGGTTGCTGCAACACGGCATATAGGGATCTCACTCTGAGACACACTCACGGAGATGTCACCCTCATGTTCAGCATGCAGGATGATCCGAGAAAAGCCCGTTCCTCTGGACCTATGCCTACCCCCAGCCCCGGACCACTCTGCATGCTTGTAGACCTTCTGAGTTCAAGATGTACTGCACACATGTTGGTCAAAATGACAAAAGGCTTTCTGCTGTTTTGGACCCTCACCTCCCAAGGTTTGGCTCAAGTAGAGCAGGTTTTTTAGGGCACTGAGCTGGCACATGAGTAGAGTTTTGGCTTGGTGCACTGTGCTTCATATCCAGATCTGTGCTAAATATGCCTTGCATGTGTTACAGTCCCTCAATAAAGATTTTGCTTTATTGAGAGGGGACTATTTCCTAAGCATATTCTATGGACAAGAATCAACCCACGGCTAAAGATGCCCCAATGCATCATAGCAGAAAATGATAACTACTTTTCTTGTGTTTCACTACTCAGGATAACATTACCGATCAAGGAAACACAATTGCCATGGTGATAAAACCAATTTTTACTGGGGGGGCAACTAGTTAAAATCTCTGATCTTCAGCAATGTGACTGTGAGAGGCAGCGTATCCTAGCAGAGCTGGGTGGTCTGGGTTCCTAGTCTGGCTCTGCCCTGACTAGCTGCCTGCCCTAGCACCACACTTACTTTGCCTCTCTGCATTGCAATTTCTTGACCTGAAAAATGAGGATAATAGTCCTTATAGCGTATGAGGATTGGATGTGTTAAAAGTGATTAAGTGTGTAAAATAATATGTAGAATATAATCAGGGCTATACAAGACTTTGATAACAAAGAGTAAATACAAAGAGTAAAAACAAAGAGTAAAAACAAAGAGTAAATCTGGGAAAAGAATCTAATATGGTCTTAGAGCACCTTATTAGAAGCATACTTATAGATATAGGGAAATCGAGGGGCCAGATTTTCCTATAAGTAACTTTTTGATCCTAGGGTATTTTGTTCACCTTCTCAGAGTATACATACAAAAATGGTCATTTCCTTTTTACTTAAAGTAGAGAAAATTTGAAACAACTAAAATTGTCATTCATGGGTGAAATGCTTAATTAAAAAATGGAATTAATTGTGTGGAATTCTGTGTATCTTCATTTGAATATTAAGATTACATTACAGTAGGGAAATGGTTCAAAAATAATATTGGAAGAGAAAATTAGATTCCAAATTATAGTGATTTTTCCTTTTAATTACAAGAGTGAAAACAAAAGAGATACATATAGAGAGAGACATAATTGATGGATAAGAAAAATTTATTGCAGGAGGATTATGTAGGAATATAACTTTTTTGATGTAAAACCTCCTGTAATGTCTTAGCAAAGCATAAATATTTTTAGAGTGTCTAACTTAGAAAACCAGTATAGAATAACTGAGGGCATTTGTTTGAGAGAGGTTAAGATAAGCTACATTTCAGATATCTGCATAACACCCTGACAGATGGCTCCCTGGAAGGAGAGAAGGAGGACTTAGGAAAGTCATGAGTTTCATGGAAATGTTTCTAGAGGGGTGAGGAAAATGAAAGGTGATACAGACAAATTAAGTGTGCAGAGAAGTGAATAAAAAGACCAAAGAGATTTGTCACAGAAATATGCCACTCAGCTACATCTAAAATGCTATAGTTTTTGCTTTTATGTTGTATCAGTTATTTTGGATTATATATTTTATAACTCTATGGAGATCTGTAATATTAACTCATTAAATAGGTATAACTTGAAAGCTAATATAGTAATATAGTACTTAAAAATAGAATTATGGGTTAAATATTTAGACAACATGTTTGTTTTACTAAAGAATTTTCATCTCAACATTACATAAGACAGCTGTATGTAATCTGAGCTACTTTAAGGCACGTATCTATTGTATTTGGCATTTGAACATTGTTGTTCATTATCAGGTATTGGATATACTTTTAGTACTCATTTGTACCTATTAGTTAATGTCATTGTCTTATTATGAAATATTTACCAGCCCCTGCATCTGATATGTTTTTGTAGTTCTAAGGCTATGAGTTCAGAACCTTAAAATATTTGGGGGGCTTGATAAACATACTCATTCCAGCACTCATCATTGCACTCCTTCATTTATAAAAAAATTTTAACTTGCAATAATATTTAAAAACATTTAATAAAGCAGTTGCTTTTTCTGCATCAAATTTTAAAACTATGATCACTAACACACACAGAAAAATATAACATAAAATAACCTTTTGTAGAATAGAGTGAATTTACTGTTCTTTTTCTAAGATTTTATTTATTTAT